GTCAATTTGAAGTTGAGTCTAGTGGCTTCCGCTAAATCTGTGGTGGTGGTAATACTGGTGATGGTAGTGAGTAGCAGTAGCAGCAGCAGTAAAGCTGTTGCAGTAGTAGCAGCAGGTGGCAAGTGCAGTGGCAGTAGCAGAAGGAGTGGTGGCAGGAGAGGTGGTTGTAGTAGTGGTGGTGGTGGTGGTTGTGTGATCCAAGGGCTTGGATCACACACCCGCCTTTTGATCCATACCCCATGGATCGAGGTATGGATCGTGTGTGGGTTTGGGTGTTTGATCCAAGCCTTATGTTTCTGGCCGTAGCCACATGGGCTTACCTCAGAATACCTGGATCATTGACCTTACCTTCTACATCGGAAGTGAGCTGCTCTTGTTGATGTTTGCATTCTTGAGTGTCACACTTACAAGAAGCTTTCGCAATTGATTTGCAAACATGCAATGAAAGAACTGCTTTCAGAGAGAAACATCACAACAGGTCACAAATTGAAGTCTCGTGTCCACGTCATCTTTCTGCATGGCCGTTAAACCTTCTTCCTCACTGACTTTCACGGAAATTGAAACAAGTCGTTCGTGCCTTTGGGTATCCCACAACCCATGGCTATGGCCAGAGACATGGTGTCTTGCGGGTGAGGTATTTATTTTCAAGTCAAAACACCAAACACAGTGGGATTCAGATTCTAGGAAATGTCGCTCAAGACAAGGCTCAATCCAGGCATGTGACACAAACCAGTGAGGTCTCTGAATTTGCACTGCCATCACCTCGACCAAACTGCAGCCGTGTCCCCCATAGCCATTTGTGGCTGGCTTGGTGATCCAATAATCCGCATGATATAAGTTGAAAGTCTTGAAATGCAGCTGTCGGCCACGATGTTCTCCAAAAGTTTCGCACCAGTGCTCTGCCATCTTTGAGATGAAACAGGGAAGTCGTCGCAACTGTTCCAAAGTGATCCCTCGCTCTTCAGTTTTGGGGATCGCAAAACATTTCCTGGCAGAAAATGGCAAACGTCATGTTGGGACAAGCAAGATTTCAAAGCCTTCCAAGCGGTCCTCACTTTTCATGGAAAAATAAAAGGGATTGTTTATCAATTTTGTGAGGCACATGTCACACATTCACGTTTGTTCTTCATACACTGAAAAATTCGATGCACATTGCACCGGGTGGCAATTTTGTCTGTGCCCGCTACAGTTACAACAAACCTGTAGCTGTAGGAACCGAATAGTTGCTAACCTTCATGTATATAAAACACATCTATCGCCCGCTCAGTTTTCCCAGTATCACCCCATCTCCTCGTTGCTGATCTCCGAGTAGTTGGTGAAAACCAAAGCGCTGCAGCGGGAATCAACGATGTCCTCGGGCTGTAGTTGACAAA